AATATGGTAAAACCTGGTATTTGGTGGTTTTCTGGAGAGTGTTTATGTTGTTGGTGATTCTGTAAATTGACCTAATCTTTTTGGAGAACAACTAGCAGTATAATGATAAAGATTTTGATTTTGGAATCCCACTTTTGAAAACAAATAATGTGTTAAGCAAACCTTGCTTTGCCAGCACGGTAGAGCACTGCAGCCAGAAAACACGCAGCGGCAGGCCCTTTGCCATCCTCCCCTCCAAGCAAAATTTGAACCATTTTGATCCGTGGAAATATGCCTTAAAATATGCCTTAACCAAAAAGGCAGAATGTTGTGTACAGAGCAATTAGAGTGTTGCAAAAATATGTGAGGATGTGGACAGGACCAGGAGGGAAGCTACAGTGATGTAAGTGGTTTTATTTTAGAGTCCTGGGATTGTTTTCCCCTAAACTGGTGTTTTAGTTTATAACCATTTTGAAATTCAAAAGCTACAGGTAATGTGGTAGGGTGTAATGATGCAGTGATGCATCTTGCTTTGTCCCATCTCTCTCTTCCCCAGCCCATCTTCCTGATTGCATCTGAAAATAAAAATTTGGTCACGTCACATCCCAGCTACAAAACCTGCTTAGGTATGGGGTTCCATCCATTTAGCCCACGGAAGCCCTCACAGCCCAGCTTGAGGCCGCCTCCCTGATGTCTTGGCCCAGCCACACTCAACCTCTGATCCTTTCCCAGCTGCTCCTGCAGTTTCTATACAGTTCCCCTTCCCCGTGCATTCAGTATACCCTTTGTCCACCCGGTCTCCTGCTCTCCTGCCAGGCCCAGCTCCAACGTTATGCCTGGGACGCTGCGCTGGGTCAGGTTAGCACCCTTCCGTGGTGCTGCCTCTTTCTTTCTGTTCTCTCTGTGACTGCAGTGGGTAGCTGGTAGCAGCTTATTCACTTGTCTCCCTTTCTGGATTAAACTCTTCTATCTCTGTGTGCCTTGTGTACACCATGGAGTCAGGTGGGGTTGAAGCCACTTGTGGAGCTGAGTGAGTGCCAGCAAGTCACTCACCTTTCCAAACCTGAGTTCCTGTAAAGTGATCTGTAAAGTGAGGTGCCAGCTGCACAAGGTTGTTGTGAGGATTGAGATGATGTAAGCGAAGGGCTTGGCATGAGCCTCCTAGCAATGGTGGTCACCTGGGGCACGATAGCTGTTGTAATGTGTGCCAGGGTGTTCTTGAGGCCTTGACTCAGGTGTTGTCTTACTCCCTCCACCTGACAAATTCCTCTCTGCCATCCTCACTTTCTCCAAGACCCTTACCACAATTTAACATACTGTACGGCTCAGCGCGGTGGCTCACACCTATAATCCCAGCACTCTGGGAAGCCGAGGTGGGAGGATTGCTTGAGGTCAGGAATTTGAGAGCAGCCTGAGCAAGAGCAAGACCTCGACTCTACTAAAAATATTAATAGAAAAAATTAGCAGGGCAACTAAAAATAGAAACAAAAATTAGCCAGGTGTGGTGGCGCATGCTTATAGTCCCAGCTACTCAGGAGGCTGAGGCAGGAGGATCGCCTGAGCCCAGGAGTTTGAGGTTGCTGTGAGCTAGGCTGACGCCACGGCACTCTAGCCCGGGCAACAGAGCAAGACTCTGTCTCAAAAAAAAATACTGGACTATTTTCTTTGCTTTTGCCCACTATATTGGGAGAGATTTTTCTCTCTTAAAAACTCCTGTATCCCTAAGCATTTAGACTTGCCTAATACAGAAAAGGTGCTCAATAAATGTTTTAGTGAATTAATCAAATTTCATGTGGGGCAGAGGCAGATGCCAGGTTTTATGGGGCCTGAAGCATGTACAGTATGGGGGGAAGGGAGAACTCTTTAAGAATGCAAAGTTACAAATAAAAATTTAGAAAGTGAATATTTAGAATGAGAAAAAATAAGTTACAGATTTGAAAAAGCTGATCAATAAGACAAACAAATACAGAAAAATAGCATTGGTCAATATCTCTCTGGCTATGTACTTTTTTATTTTATTTTCATATGACAGTGAGAGGATACAATTCAGTGATTCTTCTAGCATAGTTAATATTATTGATAAAATGCATAAAACGTGATTTCACACACAGAGACATCTTTGCTGTTTCTAGTACTGCTGTAGATTTGTGTCCCAGAAATGCAGGCATTCTGGTAAATTTTACTTTGTACAATTCCATTTACAAAAGGAAAAAAAAAACACATCTAAGGCACACTTATAATTTGTACTGCTACATTATTGACTTCTTCTGGCAGGTGAGGACTTCTGTTTTTTCTACTTAGAACTGAACTCTCCACTTACACTTGAAAACACATCTGATGATACATTTCCCACTAATGAACATCTGGCTGCCTGCATTTCAAACCTTGTTTCTTTTCTGCTAGGCCCCATGGGACTTACTCATATTGGCCTTATTCACATTGCTGCAGGACCAGGAGTCATGAAACCCTGGTGACCCGACAGCAGTATATTTAGCTGCCATGCCTGCACTGAGATGGCTGGTAATCACTGGAGTGTACACACAAATAACTGCAAACAGCATGAATGTATCCCATCAAACCCAAACTCAATTTATCTGCAACTCAATGTGCCTTTAGCTGGATCCCAAAAATGCCAGCAGCCCCTCCTAGGCTACCTGACT